AAAAAAAAAAAAAAAAGCAATATAAAAAAAAAGAAAAAAAGAAAAAAGAAAAAAAGAGATGCACAACAATGCCAATCAGTCAGTGAATGGAAGATTTGTGTTCATGGAACATAATTACTTGCAGACAGGCTGGCCGTTCATGGAACAATCAAACGGCCAACGGCCATCACAACCAGAGTTGGATTGACGATCAACGGTCAATCCACTCTGGCACTGACCAGAGTCCTGTTTGAGTGCGTTGTTGTGATTGCCGTTGGAACATAATTACTTGCAGACAGGTTTGATTTAAGATATGCTCGCCAGTCTTTCGTTCTTTATTTATTTGGTAGCCCCACCCCATCGAACATAATTACAGTCACAGTCAACGGTTTGAGTGCGTGGGGATTGCCGTTGGCCGTTTGATTGTTTGATTGTTTGATTGTTTGATTGCGAGTGGATTGATCTGGGAGAGAGACGCCCAGCAGAAACAGAGTGAGGGGGCATGCAGTGGCCAACCCTGCCAAAATAAGTGATCAGAGTGTGTCAGCTTACAGCGCTGCAAAGAGATTCAGGAGGAAAAGTGATATACATTTTAGATGTATTATTAATTTATTATTAAGATTGTTGTGGAAGAAGAAGGTGGCTACATGCTGGATGTGATTTGGAAGATGAGTCGTCTCCCCCCTTGTACTGCCGCTCTTCTCAATCTTCCTCCTTCGGCTTCCGTTGGCCTTCTTTTCCGAATTCTTGGTGGGTGATCAACAGATTCAGTGTCATAAATGGTTCGGAGAGGGTTACATCATGGTCGGATTCAGTACAGGCTCCCTGGTCGTCATCTCAACACACAACAAGGAACTAAGTGAGGAGGTGCACTCCGGGCGTCAGCACAAGGTGTGTGTTTGGGTCTACATCATTTCTCTTGGTAATATGTAAGCTCGAGTGCAGTGACCGCGCCACAGATTCTAGTGTGCATTTTCCCTGTGTGTTTGCTGCATTGCTGTAGTTTTCTGAGTTCCAGTGCATGTGTGTGTGTGTGTGTGTGTGTGTGTGTGTGTGTGTGTGTGTGTGTGTGTGTGTGTGTGTGTGTGTGTGTTGTTGAGAAGAAGAAAAAAGTGCTAAAATGTTTTAAGTAGAATATTAAGGAATGCCCATCATATGAGGCTTTATGCTCGTGAAGGATACCATCTAGTGGATCAACAACTGATTCTCTAGTGGGGACTCTAGGGAGGGAACATCACCTAGAAATTGAACATTTTGTCATTTACAGAACACTGGTGGATGGAAATGATGTTCACTTGCTGTTCCTCCTTTGGGATGACCTGCCTTTTTCTTGAAAATACTACTTCCCTCCATTATGGCTGAGGCTGAGGGAGGACCCTTAACCAGCAGCATGGAATTAACTTCAGGGGGGGGAAAGAATGTACATCTTGTCGAGCCCCTGTGTTGTTCTATCTTTTTCGGAGTCCCTTAAACGCCTTCTCCTCTTCAACGCTTGATATGGCTGAGGTCACCTGACCTGCCTACTTTCCCAAGAGCCCTGGGAGCTGGGCTTAGTAATCCTTTCTTTCTCCCTTGGGTTAGAGGATGGTTCGTCCTCTCTTTTCCTCTTTTCCTCTTTCGCCCTTTTCCTCTTTTCCTCTTTTCCCCTTTATCCTCCCTCTGCCCCTATGTTGTCTTCTTCAAGCTATCCTTCTTCTTCTTCTTTTTGTTGTTGGAAAACCAGCTCTGGGTTTCGGTTCGATCACTCCGGGCAGACTGTGAGGACCCCGGCCTCAATCTTATTATCATTGGTATAAAAAAAAAGAAAAAAAAAAAGATGATGTATAAAAAAAAAGAAAACCAGCTCTGGGTACTGTTGGAGGGGAGGGGGGGAGGATACGAGCACCCTCCTCTAGCACTGTGTAGTACGAAATTACGAATGCATGCGGTTCTTTGCGGCTTGGTCCTTCTAGGAGTACTTAGTCTCCCCTCAAGGTAACGCACGATTTTGGAAAACCAAGGTTGCATTTCCGCAAGCCTGAAATCTGCGGTGCTGGTGTGAGGAAAAATATTTGTGGGACTCTTCCCCACCGAACCTCTAATGGGCCTGGGTACTGTAGATTTTGGCCTGGTGCTTGTAGACGAGAGACATGAACAGTGCAGGGGGCGTTGGAGTGGTGGTTAAAGGGGGCGTTGGAGTGGTGGTTTAAACCACCACTACTTGGCCCAGCTATCGGCCGCAGAAAAAAAAAGGAGTAGAAACGTTTCTAGTCGGATGAATTTGGGCGCTCCTATAGTGGCCCATACGTTTCCTACAATCATGGCGCGTTAAGGAAGTACTGGTGGTTTAATGACAGTCCTTTAAAGAGTACTGACTCTACTGTGCCTTTCCCCTCAAGGTACCACGCTCCAGATGTGAAGATGAGAAATTTGCTCACCATGATAGTAGCTGTTTTGCGGTTGCCTTTTTTTTTTTTTTTTTTTTTTTTTTTTTATCTGGAGGATCTCCTTGGGCATGGTCTGGTGTCCTTTCTCTTAACCTGCCAGTATGTTTCCCAGCCATTTTTTCAGAGACATGGCGTGCATGCTGCTGCGTCGGGCGGGAAGTACCAGGGCACCGTTTCGTGGAACATCCATCCAGGCAAAACGGGCCTCACATGCTGCAGTGGAAGTCAATTCCCAAAGTCCAATTTTGCAGCAGCGTCCCAAGAAATTTCGGAGACTTCGTGAACACCAATTCTTGGCAGCAGAGGTCGCGGGCGACAGGTAGCTATCCAAACCAGGCACTTACAATCAACTTCAGCTATTAATAGCTGCTACAGTGCCAAGGCCAACACACTGTTCATTCACAAATTTGTGGAACCGCTGCTGGTTGCTTGTGCAATTGCACGACCTGGACTGCAAAAGGCGCTGGGTGGAGAAGCAAGCGCCCTGGCAGAGAGAGTCAACCATAGTTGGGGTTAGAGAGAGGGGGAAGACGGCGGCCATAGCCACAGTAGCTCAGAGCGACATACCGCAGTTACATTCAGGGTAGATCTTAGTCGAGGGAGGAGAGCTTGAGCGCATCAGTAAGGTCGAGCGATACAAGGCCTGAGAGAGAGACAGACACACACACACACACACACACACACACACACACACACACACACACACACACACACAGAGAGAGAGAGAGAGAGAGACCAAGGGAGGGGGAGTTGTGTACATACCTGAACTGGGTTGCAGTTTGGACCGAGGGTATAAGGTCACTGGATACTTGAACTCTGCAATTGTATTATATCATATTTTTGAGTGGAAATCCATCAGGCGATGATCGATGATTCATGTGTTATCTCTCAGGTGTGGTGTGCACTTTCATGTGAATGCTCTCATCTTGCATGTTCGAGTTGGATTGAAGTTGCGAGGTTCATTGCATTTGTCGCGGCGGAAGTTTGGAATAAGCAAAAATAGCAGTAATTTTGTTTTTTTTTGCCGTTTTTGAACTCAGGCCCTCTGCATGCGACAGCCCAACCCTGTAGTTATGACATCCGTGCTTATTAGAAAGTGCCACACGGGTTTTGTTGCCTTTCCAAACTTGGCCCGTGAGTGACCCGCCAGTACGTGTGTGTGTTTTTTGCGCTTTATTTTGGAACTCATTTTCGTTCACTGCGTAGCGGGCTCTTTTTTGGGGCAAGTACGTTTAAGTCACACTCAACGTTCAGAAGTATAGGCAGCTTTAGCAGTTCCTGAAATTATGGTGCAAGAAAGGAGCCCCCCCTAAATCTGCCAAAAGGGCCACTGTGGGTAAAATGACTGACGCAGTTTTAGGCCCCCACTAAATTAAAACTTGCACATTTCGAAACTCGTACCATGACACCGGCGCCACTTTGTCTTTTCTTGCCTATTTCAAACTAAAAGTGTGTCACGGCCACAGTTCCCCCCTCTTTCGGGGCAAGTACGTAACTGTAACTGTCCGTTGAAGTCACATCGCAATGTTTTTACACCTGTGGAGGGAGGCTACTGGCGGAGTTGACACGAGCATCCATCATGTCCCCCCAGCAAGGCGGAAGCTTTTCTCCTCAGGTCCTTCAAAGCTGCATAACGGAAACAACAGAGGGGTTCAGGAGTAAAGCCCACCCATGAAAGGAGGTGTCGGTTCGTTGACCATGTCGTCAATGTATTTGCCAGCAGGCTTGTGGCATAGCGTTTGCTGGACCCTCATCGTTTACTAATACCCCCCTAAGAAGCGCAGTGATGATTCGCATCCCCCCATATCCTTCTTTGCAGTGTCTCTGCCGCTCTGTCACGCTGTGCGAGCATCTAGCACCACCGAAGAGTCCTGGCCAATTCACTTAAGTTTCCATCTCTGACTGTAATTCGCATGCCTGCATCGCTCTAGCCAGTGCCTGAAACTACCATCTTCACCCGAATAGAACGCCCGGTCATTATCGCTGCATCTGGACCGAAAGTTGTGCCAAATACTGCTATAATGACCGGGCGTCCTATTTGGGTGACGACGGTAGTCAGAAGCTCTCTCAGTAGTACACTCCAAACCCTTCCCCCCATTATGGCTTTTCTTCTCTCTCTCTTTTTCAAGTGAACAAACCTCCAATCTATTGGTGGGGAGCATCACCTGCTCGAAATCGGGTCCAGCGTCCCTAGATCTCCCTTCCCCCCCCCCCCCCCCCCCCCCCCGACTGCGTAGTCATGATCTTGGTGGGGCCGCGCGCCCCCCAGCTTTGGGAACAGGGAGGCCACTTCCTGCCCTTTGTGCCCCCCCCCCCCCCCCCCCCCCTCTTCATCGGAACAGATAGAATATGCCTGTGCTTAGGTATTCTCCTAATCCCCCCAAGGACCGGTCATAACTTCTGCCAGAATTTCATGGATAGCCCATTCCACCTTCAAGTCTTAGGGCACGCTCACACTGCGTACCCAATCCGCATAAGCCCCCCACAATCCCCAAAAATAGGGTAGAGGGGCAGTCACACCCAGTTCTCATTTTCACGAAGTACTTGGATAGCTCATTCGTGAACCCCTTTGGCAGAGGGCTGAGGGGCTGCGGGTTTGGGAATTTGCGGTAACCTCGAGAGGTTACCGCAAGTTCCTTATTCTTTGTTGAAGTAACTTAAGAAAAAATGATAGAAAATTCTTGAGCGAAGATATTGGCGCGATAACAAATGGGGAAAAGTTGGGGGGGGGGGAGGAACAGCAGAAAATCGGGTGAGGGAAAAAGGGTGTGCCCCGTGTGACTGGCTTCCTCCCAAGCTCCACACGGGGTGAGCTGTCGCGACCGGGAAACGGGAGATACCACTCTCTTTTCCTCCCAGATCAGGCCTTCCTACTTTTTGAGATTATGCGGATTTGCTACCGCAGTGTGAGTGTGCCCTTACTGGGCTTGGTTGATTTTTATGCTTCAAAGACTTCCTCATCTAATTCGTCAGAGCTGCTGGAAATCGGGTCCAGCGTACGAGTGTACCGGCTTCCCAACAACCCTGGGGGTGATGCGCTGACGCCGGCAGACCGGTAGGCCTGGTTCCTCCCGGCTCGACTAGCGCCTGGGGAGGTAAGCTCCCAGGCTGCTAGGCCTGTGCGCGCGCTCGGCAGAAGCACGTGGCTCTTCGATTGCCACGTGGCATCTGCTGTAGTGACGTGAACGTCCGCGACACGCGGGCAGGGGTAGCGCCAGCAGTGAAGATCGACGACGAGATGCAATACGCAGCGCAGCACTCCGGGCGAGGGATGGAGATGGAAGGGGAGCTACAACGTGAAGCACTTCGATTACAGGATAAGCTCTTTTATAATGAAGACGAACTCTCGCTTACAGAAGATTCTGAAGGTGAGCAAGACGATGATCGCGAAGCACGAGGGATGGAGATGGACGAGGAGCTACAGCGTGAAGCACTTCGACTACAGGATAAGCTCTACCATAAGGAAGACGGAGTCTCGCTTACAGAAGATTCTGAAGGTGAGCAAGATGGTGATCGCGATGTTCCTTGCTATTATACAAATATCTGCGCTATAGGTGAGATCTGGGATTCTGGAAGAGGGATGAGTTGTGCCGTTGCTGTGAGTGAGTGCGACGAGTATGAGGAGGGGGGAGAAGAAAGGTGAGTTAACTTGATGGAACTCTCTAACCAGGCTGAGGATGAGAGTGCAGTTGGGGATGGAGAGAGGGAATATGCCGCTGATGACGCTGGTAAGTGGGAGGTTGGGGATGAGTGTGTAGATGGCAATGAAGAGGGGGAATATGCCACTGATGATGTGGCTGAGTGGGATGGGGAGTGGGGACTACTGGCAATGGTGGAAATGGCGGCAGCGGCAGCGGCGACGACAACAGTAACAACAACAACTTCAACAACAATGATAATGGAGGTGGAGCAGAGGTTGGAAGAAGGGAGGCAAGGAATGGGCGGGATTGGCCAGACGGGCGGGACGGTTGGCAACAACAATGACAGTAACATCATTGACAACAATAACAATAGTAACTTCAACAACAGCGGTGTGCGGCGAACGGGCGAACTGGGTGGGATAAGCGTGAAGGAGGATAACAACAACAACAACAACAACAACAACAACAACAACAACAACAACAACAACAACAACAACAACAACGGCGACACCAACGCAGTGGTGGAGAGG